CCTATTAGCCACAGTGGCTGTTGAAATTCTAAATGCAAAGTAGAGCAAGAAAAATTTCACATTAATTTTATGCATTAGGGGATTCTAGGTTCACTATATCCACTCAAGAGATCTTGTCATCATTCTAAACAATTAATTGATGACATCTAGTTTAAAAATAAATGATAATATTTCTCAAAGGATACTATAGAACTGAACTGAGTTAAAATGAGACAAAATTATCAAGAGAATGAAAGATTTGTGACATACACTGAATAGATTTATACAACAAATATATATTTCCGTATTCTTTTGGTTGCATAAAATTGAACTTAAAAAAAGATGAAATAGTGATTGTTATAGAAGAAGAGAAATTTTATTTGCGTATCTCATAAGGAAAGGAGCATTCTGTTAAATTATGAGAAATAAAAAAAAAATTATGAAATCATTCTTATACGATAAATGCTAAACGTGTTATTCCATAAATGTTTGACAGAATTCAGAAGGAAATTGGGTGTTTATATTCCGTATAGTCTTTATTTATATATAAAATTAATAATGTCTCGAAATACTAATACTTACATATTTAGTCATTTTTATGTACATGTAAATAAACTTTGTAGAGCAATGACTGATTGTGAATAGTTGTTCCCATGTTCATCTTATTTGTCTTGCAGAGCCAGCACAACTGTAACACGTTTTGTTGTGCAGCATTGATAAACTGGTCAATTTAAATTTCTACTTGAAAGCAATATTGGAAGTTACTTTTCTCATGGATATGTAGCTGGGGTCAGAATTTATCCTACAGAGCTTAAATCAATACTGAATATATGTAAACTGTGGAGGTAGATTTCATCTACCTCCACAAAACACTGTCTCATGGGGGAAAAAGAATCAGTTAAAGTGTGTAAAGTATTTTCCCATAACCCCTCCTACTTTCTTCTCCGGTATGCTCACTTCAGGTATCCCAGACAGCTCTCCATTTCTTTAATCATATTTAACTCTCAACCATTTTAGAACTGACAGCCTCAGTAGCTCAGGTGTTGTGAACTGTACTGTCTCCAGAAGCAAGCCTCATCCATAAGCAGAACAGCTCAAAGCATGAACTAAGTTATTACCTTAAATACTTGGACCATTTCTGTGCAGAAGTTTCATACTATGTTTTCAGAAGTGGTAGCCCTCTAGGATGTGATGCAGAGCATTAATATCACCACAGGTTCAATGTTAGTTTTATTAGTTCTGAGCCTGGACTGACAACTGACTATATCCTGGTTTTATACCAGGTGTGACTATATCCTTGTATGTTTCCTATGTTTCTCAGTAAACTGGGGTTGTGGAAAGAACTTGTCAGTTCTGTTCCAGTTCTGTCTGAATGCTTGGAGCCATTTTTCTCAGAAACAACCCTATATACAGCCATATCTCTCTAAACTTCAGGAGGCTTTGGTAGAGACACACAGATGTTGGGGCTGTTATATTGAAGTTCACAAGTGCAGTTTCACTTCAGCCGGCAGCTAAACATCACACAGCTGCTGCCTGCTGCTCCCCCCACCCCCCTCTCTACGGGTGAGATAAGAAGGAGAATTGGGAGACAAAGGCAAAACCCCGTGGTTTGAGACAAGGACAGTTTAATAGAAGAACAGAGAGAGGAGAAACAACAGTAATAACAATATTACTAATGAAATAATATATAAAGCAAATGATATAAACCACGAGGCTCTACCACTACCTGAGACACAC